CGTATAGAAGAATGGACCGCATAGATGCACGGCACACGCGGACCTTTGCGGAGATATGAGTATCGCGTCGGTCCGTAGGCAATTTAGAAGGCTGGTGAAAACACGTCTTGCTGTCTCAATTTGGGAGACAATGTCATCCTTACTCTGTCCATTCGGCAGGAACCTCCCTCCAAAGTATTTGAAACTGTCTACTTCAAGTTGATAGCCACTAATGTCAAGAGGTGTCTTCTCTTGGGCAGGAATGCAGCATGGAAACACTTTAGTTCCCCCGTCATTTATGGACAAACTGACCGATTTCGCCACCTTGTTCACTCGTGACACCATAGACTGTACATCGCCAAAGCTGGGAGCTAGTAAAGCCATATCATCGACATAGTTGAGGTCAGTCAACCGGCGCAAGCTCAATACCGTCATTTTCCTGTAGGGCCTTTCCAAGAACCCAGTCTATGGCGTAGTTAAAGAGGATGGGCGACAGGACACAGCCTTGTCGAATGCCCGACCGAATAGCAAAGGGTTCTGAGAAGTTGTTGGGCTAGAACCCACGCAGTGATGGAGCGGTAGTATGCCTTGATCATGGCGATTATTTTTGGTGGCACACCAATTGCCATTATCCGCCATAGGGAGTCACGATGGACGGAGTCGAACGCAGCGGCAAAGTCAACAAAGCAGACGGCTGTTGGTTTTTGGTAGTTATTGCGCAATTCAAGGATCCGTCTCAGCGCGAATATCTGATCCACACATCCACGCAGAAGAGAACAAAACAGATTCGTAACGGGCAAGGGGCAGGCGATCTCATTGTGATAGGTGACCTTCCGGTTCAACCAATGTCGCAACAGCATACCTTAATGACAAGGCGCCCTAGCAATTTCTACATGTGCGACTACCGCAAAGGAATGTTGGGCGGGTTTTGGTTTGGATTGTATTAGAATATTGGATATCCATGCAGGTATGAAAAACCACTTTTATAAAGCCTTACCGTATTAAGATTGCAATTGCATCAAGGCTTGACCATAGGCAGGCACCTAGAGGTGGTTTTGACAAAGAGAGCAGTGTGCGAAACCAACAAGAGCTCGAATTAATTAATCTTGGGTAGATGTTTAATTTAGCTCCCA